ATTTTGTGAAAGTATTTCTTCCAATTAGAAAAGATTTTAAAAAAAGTATATCTAACATAACTTTCTGCTAATTTACAAATACGAGATATCCATCTTAGTCACTATGGACGTATTTGCCCAATTCACACATACGAGGGAGAAAAAAAACCCTTAGTTTTCAAATACTAATTAAGACAACTTTCTAAAAACTCTTCGGCCCCGTTTGATTACACTTCAATTTCATGGAAGATGAAAATTAAATTTCATTTCCCACATTTTTTTGAAGGCTTGTTTGTCCAATTTTTCCATGGAATTGATTTTTCATCTTTCACCCACATGCTCACATTTTCTTGATTTTTGAGGAAAAGTTTTTCCGACCACTTTGGAAAAAGTTTTTTTAAGCAACTTTTTATTTTTATTTTTTTGGCAATGAAAACAAATCATATCCCCAAATTTTAAAAAAGTTCATCCCTTTATTGAACAATTTTCATAAAAAAATAAAGTCAAACGAACACAAAAAAAATTCAAAATTTCAATATTTTTCAAGTTAAAATTATATAAATTAAACGCAATTAATTGACAATTTCTAGTAAAACAAGTTCTAGACAATTCAATTCCCTGAAATTCATTTTTTTTTTCAACTAAATTACATTCTTGCAATCAAACGGACCCTTATAGAAGAAACAGAAGCAAGCCTAATCCCTGCCAATGTGGCCCTAAATAATGATTGATCTAATGGCAACGAAAAACCTGCAAATTCTTTTCAAGAAACTACATAAGAGTGATATTCGAGTAAATGAGATCCAACAGCCTTGTTTTACCACGGAGAGAGAGGCCTGTCATTTCTCCACAGGGTTGAATTTATAATTGTTCGACAACCACCTAAAGAAATTAACAACAATCTCCATTTCTAATGAAGAAATAGAGAACAAATTTCAATGACAGAGTGATAACATCATTGTCTTGAGATCTCATCTCTATTCACAAGCCAATTTGGTGTCAAAGCTGCTCAAGCAGATTGCGAATGCCTGAAAAGCAGATATCGGATATCGGTAATCCATGGTGAACGTATCTTTACCGACCTTGCCAAACTGGAGGATGATTTTATCATGGTCGGACGACTGTGATGGTTGAGACACCGTTTGCACGTTAGTGATTGGTTGATTGGCTGCAATCAACTGAAAATTCTTGACCGATGCAACTGTTACCCGCCCTCGGAAATTGAGGCACCAGCACTGTAATTGTTCGTGCCATCTGGGAGAATTGTTCTTGAGAATCAGCGGTCCTGATTTACTATCGTTGTCTTCATTGGCCAGCCGAGCAATATCGGAGAATCGCGAGCTGCTAAACTCAGTAGAGTAATCGATAGATTTTGAGTAGGAGATGCTCTGAAACGAGTCCTCGAGGGGTCTCTGAAGAAGCTCGGGTTGTCCGGGTACTACCCCATCAGGTTCAAGGGATGAGAAGGGTATTGAGTGCATCATGCAATGCATCCTGCGGGGACCCCGCGTCCCAAGCACATTCAACTCATATGTAATTTGGGCTATGTTGTAGCTGCCAGTTGGTACTTTTGGAGAGACTCTTGGAATAGAATCTACGACTTGTTTTTCCAGGTGAAGGGATGTGTGAACAAGTATGCGGAGGCTGTGTGTCATATATTATAAACTTCGTACCAAGAAAATTTGATCTGCAACAAGCAGCAAGCTTTTCAAGTGAATGTTGAGAAACTCTACATCAATTTCGGGGTAAAAAAGCAGCAAAATTAAGGATTATGCATCTAGAGAAGCAAATCGGGGATATATACTCTCAGAGGTAAAAATATAACAAAAAAGGAAGACATGCAAGCTAAAATAGTATTTTAGAGAGAATCCTGTTCTGCAGAAACCAAGCACTAGATGTACTGAAAATCAATATAAATTCCTTTCAATTCTGTGCCACTCTTGAGACAATTTTTATGCAGCTTGTGCCTCAAATGCACCCTTGATTTGTCAACTACACATCTTAAAACAGAAACTAATGAAACAATGTCTACTAAGCTAGTTTTGAATACCTAGACACTGTTTGAATTTCCCGTTCACTAAAAGCCAACAATAATAACTTATTTGCATAAGCCAACCATAAGCTGCATTTCAAAATCAAGACAATGCAATTATCCTCTTAATCCATGCTAATGGAACTCAAGGCATCTCAGTTCTTGTCCTTTACTTGTGTTTGAATTGATTATTCGTAAGAAATCAATAATAAATGTCGCAAGAAACCTCATCCAAGAAACAGGACTCATAAAAGTGTGGATTTCTCAAACTTAACCGTGTCATCCCCCAAGAGTAGAAGGGAGCGGGTGGAAAAAAATACGTATTTGGCATCAATTCAACTTTTTGGATGTGTCCATGCAACTAATTTCATGAATTATATTTTGGAAATCTCCCTTTAAGAGCTTTTTGTTTTTGAATCACTGAATAAATCTCTTCATCTTATGCATTCCAAAATATTCACAAGATCATATTCAATTTTAACACAGAAAAAAAAAATTTGGATGTTTTCTCAAGTCGAGATTAAAATTCCAAGTTGTGGAATAACTCATAGTTTCCCAAGTAAAATAAAGCCTTTCGTTAAAACTTTCTATAAAGAATGGTGATTTGTGTAAACCTCCCATTGACAAATATACTTGGTTCTCAAGAAATTATTAGGTAATCTGAAAAAGGAAACACGCACAAATGTAACATGCATAAAGATATAACAAAAATTTCATTTGATTCTACCTTAGTTTCCCAATATACGTGCTGCTCGATCTAGAAATGTTATCTGCATCCGTGGAGAGAACATACTCTGTACAAGAAGTTCGACGGGTTCTTTTAGTAGAGAGAAGGAACTTGCCATTTTCAACTAGCAAAGCTGACCCAATAAATTGCAACTTGCATTAGAAGAGTACAAACACCAAGAAACACAGGGATTTCAAGTGCAAAGATTAAACAGTTCCATTTCAAGAAAGGAAAAAACAAATAAGACTTCTAAATGTATGATTCTATGTGATAAGGGTGTATTTTGCACGTTTATATCAGTTCTTAAACTTGGATATTCGTCGTTTTATGCGTGAAACATAGCTTAATTTGTTATAAATTGTGTTTGCAGGTCATGATTGGCGAATGCGGTGAAAGTGGAAGAAAAATAGAGGAAAAGGACCAAAATGAAGAAAAATCAAAGTTCAAGGACTTAATTGCAAATACTCAAAAGATGACTAATAGAAAGAATTGAAGACACAAAGATGAGAAGATTCAATTGAGTAATTGATAATGCGTTGGAAAGAAGAAACNACGTTAGGACGTTTTGCACACTAACTATCAAACGTAGGGACGTTTTGTGCTAATAAGCCTTGTATTATATTATGGAAAATTGAACCCATTTAACACGTCAAATAAGGTTATGTTGCCCCGTTAACAACCTACTACAATAATTGACCTACAACTTTCAATCAAGTTGCTTATTGTTTAAACAATTCCTGAAAAAGAATTGTGAGAAAACCGCAATTTTTTTATTAACTATTTTAACAATTTTGTTTACTATTAAATTGAAGTCATGGGTATAAATTTTTTTGTGTTGAACTTTTAATAGACAGTGACCCTTGAATCAATTGAGGACGTCGGCTAGCACGTTTGGGCTGGGCCCACCATTTAACATCACCTTTATAGTCTCAAAAAAACACTAATTTTGTAGAATTTATGACCTAATGATGCTTAATAATATAAATTAATGTATTAAAGAAATAGTTAAAGAAATAAACCAGTGGACCGAAAAGAAGCATCTTTCCATTTAGAAACTTATGTGCAAGAAGCCAATTGGTCAATAATAATAAGGGAAAATTGCCGCCACAGTACCAAACATTTCACATTTTCAGACTTTATCCAAACCTTTCATTTGTGCCACTCACGGTACCAAACTTTTAAACAATTCGCACCCGAAATCTAAATTGACAGAAATCGTTAGTTGACCAAAAATTAAAAATCTGACCAATTGTTGACTAATTCTTAAATGGCAAAATAGTAACTTTCCTTTTTTTCAAATAAAAAAAAAACAAAAATTAAATAATTAAATCATAAACCAAATAACCCTATTATCTTCTCCAACCACCAGGAGCACGTGCCCCCAGGAGCCCCCCGGCTCCGCCAGTGGACTTAAAGGAGGAATGTAACTATTCTACAATCCTGGAACATTTTCATAAGACATTTTCTAAATACTTGATAGTAATTTTGGTGTAAAATAAGAATTACTAAAAAAATAATCAACTTCTTTTTATTTGAAAGTAACCAACTTAAAACATGTTTGAAAATAAAAATTTACTTAAAAGTAAAAGGGAGCTTAGCCAAACATGATCTAGTCCCATTAAAGCCTCTTAGAATGATCCAAATGGACAAGTCAACTGCTACAGATTATTACATATTCTTCCGACATGAAAACTACAAAACTAAAATAACTTTTGACTGGTACACATAAACTAATGTAACTTTAAACTCGAGCCTCCAAAATATAAGCATAATGTCAATCCACAAAGAGAGCACAAAATAAAAAAAAAAACATGTTTGATATGTTAGGTTCGACCATCCAATACTACTTACTAGACATGCCTAAAAAGGGAACCACTTGAATCGATACAACATGTTTCAGAATCAAATATTATCACCCAACTTTTCAAACGGTCATTGGCTTAAGGTGAAATGTGTTCTAAACTTATAAATGAAAATTACCAAGTTGTGGGCCTAGTCATATCATTTCTAACCCTAATTCTAAGATACACTCCTCGTGAATTAGAAAGTGACAAATTTGCTTAGTAAGATTCCTAAAAATGGTTAATGCACAAGGTTCTTTAGCTCAATTCAACTCTACTAAGCCTACAACATCATTGCGCTAAAGTAACGGACATTTAATACAAATATCAATATAAAAAATGCGAAATAAATAAGAGAACAGAAAACGGCAAGCATGGTGCCCAAGTTGATTAGCCTTCGGTAGAGAATTCAATTGAACGTCTACAGAAAGTATTTCGTCCTGTCATCTCTTCTCATAGCGTTGTACACTGCTTGAACCTGGAGAACATAGATTCAATTACATTATTCATGTGTAGTGGTTTGTATAAACAGCGCCTTTCGACATTTTTTGTTGACAGACATGATATTCATTGCACTATGCATGTTGATGTCAAAATTTTTTGTTGCACATGCACGTGCATAGCTACACAGGGAGGGAGGGAGGGAGGGAGGGAGGGAGAGCACCTGCTCACTACAAACTACTTGAACAGGTCCAATGTTCACTGATACATATTTGCCACGTGAGGATACCCTGTGTTTCACTTGACCCTGCAGCAGAACACGGTACTTAAGTGGCCTACATTTAACAAGTATGGGCGATAAGTTACTTGAGTTACACTTTAGATCTGGTTCTACAAGATGCCATTTGGGGAAAAAAAGCGTATAGAAGTAGAAGAAAAAGAGCTAATAAAAATAGCAACTTTAATAACCATTGACAACAAGAGTAGCATGCCAACATAAATATGACATGCGAGTAACGATGTACAAAGTAGGATGTGATCCTAATATTATGTACATAGCAGGATGTCAGGAAATAAAGTATGCAAATGAAATTGCAGTTATAGCACGTTCTTGACGAGATCTTAACTTGTTTAGTGACAAGAGAAATAGAATTAGAGCAACTCCTATGCATTCTATGGATTTCTATCTACATGCATGAAAGATGAAAGACTCCCGGCCGACTTGGCATTGATGTCTAATAAAAAGACACTCAAGTCCAAAATTGGTAAGCAATTCATTTTGTGGATTGACATCTGTGTCTTTATTTTCATTTATAAAACAAAATCACGTAAAGCTAGATACGAAATAAAGTCCAGATCAAGATGAAGTTCAAGACATTATCTATTTTTTTTTCTTTATCACGCCAGCTTGACATTGTCCCTATCAGCGTGCATTGGAGAGGAATTTTTTTATATACCTTGCACTTTGCTTATGTGACAATTTTTTAATCAATACATGGTGCATTGGAGATGCTCTTACAGAAGTGAACGAAGTTTAAAACAACGATTTCAAACTTCAGTTACCAAAAGTGCTCCCTGAACCTAAAGTTTGTGCAGTTCAAGTTCAGCCTCAAACTGAATTAGTTTCATATAAATACTTCAAACTAAAATTCAAGTAATACTACCTCGTAGTCCAACTCCTTAAGGAACTTCTGAATATTAACATGAAACAGAACAAAACACAAGGTATATTTAAATTATAAACTATATGTATACTACATGTGAAAAATGTCTGAAATTGAAGTGGTTCTTGACACTTCCTAACTATCTTACCAAATAGATTACAAGTTACAAAACCATAAAAAGTTGAGTAAGATACTCTTACTTTTATAATAGTGGCAAGGTTAATATTGAATTACCATCTACACTTGGTCTAGATATTTCATCTTCTGGGAATGAATGTTCAAATAATAAATCAAGAAATAGAGGAACATAATTTTTGACTCTACAGAGAGATGCTGCCTACCTAAGAAGGTTAATTACATAAATAATTCTTGTTGAACCACCTCATCTATAAACTCAAGTTATTAGAAAGGACACTATCTTTTATTTATGTAAATGTACACCCCAAATGTACATGCCAAATTCGTTATTTTTTCATTAAGGAGTGACCATGCACAATTTTCATAAATGGGGCTTGTGAGTTTTAAACACAGAACCTTTGCCGGCTCCATCCCACGTATTATACATTAAATTATGATAATATGTGAACTGTGAACATGGTATAGTTTTAAAAATTTACAAGTTTCTTAATAAATCATGAAATTGTGTTAACAACTTCTGTGTTCTTGTTATCAAATCAAATGATTGTTTAAGTTACTAGTTTGTTGGGATACCATTCCATTCCATGCCTTGCACATTATTTTATACTATTATACCTAAAGCCAAGAATTATTCATTTATACTACAAATACTAAATTTCTAACTTAGGTGTATTCCCATAATAATATTATCTAATTTGCCTTGGTTTGGAAAAAAATTAAATCATTTATAAATAGTCAAACTTTATTTTCAACCATACATTCGAATGGATCCACAAGTACAATTCACTTATTCACCACTCATTTCCATCTATTTATAAATTCTTTCCGGACAGAGGCATAATAATCTTCACATTTTGCACTATAAGAATCAATTTTTTGTTCATTCTTATAGCAAACATGAGTAGACAACCTTAACTGAAACTTAAAGCTTGTTTGGAAATTGTTTTTAAATTATAAATAGATGAAAATGAGTGGTAACTAAGTGAATAATACTTGTGGGTCTTACAAAATATGTGGACAAAAACTGATTTATTATACCATATTCTATTAAAGAGTGGTGATCTGATTCTGAAAGACCTCGTCATTTCTATTAGTCCAAGAATACCAAACATATGCATCGGACTGACCTCCCACAACAACTCATCTTCAAACCTAAAACCAAATCTCCAGAATTTAATTTGCAACATCTTTACTACAGGCTTTCTAACTTTTTTTCTGAATGCAGATATCAGACACATGTTCAATATCGTTTATCCGAATATCAGGTCCGACCCAGGTACTTCGTGCAGTTAGAAGAGATGGGGTAGTGTAGAGGAAAGAGTTCGATGATTTTATGTATCTATGCATCGAACCCCAAAAATATTTTTGAAATTAATTATGTTCAGCAACAAAAATAGAACCTTACTTCTGGGATTGTCTGCTGAAGAACTGATTCAACAGCAACAACCATAGCTTGTACAAAATCTTCACCTCCAGTTCCAATTGCTGTAAAGCCTCTAAAAGTTGGATAGAAGTTTACCTGCTTAGTAAAACATTACACACTCTCAAATCAGTAATAATCAATGCAAGCTAGGACTAGGAGATCCCACATCAAGACTCAAGCTTTGTAAAACAGAACAAGGTATCAGATATGTTGCGTTTCAACATGAAGATGCGTAGGAATAGCATGCAAACCAGAAATTCAAGTGTTAAAATAGGCCAAAAAGAAAATTGAGACACCATAGTCCATACCTTCTGATCTAGAGCAAGCCACTCATTTGTAGAATCGTCTGTCACTGTACCTCCAATAACCACATTAGTTGTTTGTCCCACCCTTCCTTCTGTCTTTGAAACTTCTGAAAATCTCCGAAGATTTAGTCGAAGTAAATTTGAATTCCAACTTCCTACGGATTAATTACAAGAAAAATACAAAGAGTACAAGCCCCCTGAACAATTTTGAAAATTTCGTAAATTTCGCTATCACCAAATCGTTCCATGGTTTAGGATTACCAGATAAGACCTCAGACATCAATCTTCTCACACAGAATTACATCACTGTTTTCCCAATACATATCCCAGAACTGACCTTTTTTATGTTACGAGTGCAAGGTTTGTTCTTTATTATACAGGAGCATATACGCACACATAAACTCAATAAATCAGTTAATAACGTTAATTGAGTGTTTTTCTTTCTTTTTTTTTTTTTTTAAAGGGATCAATCCTAGTAAATTTACATGTATAAGATAACACCAACATCCCACAAGGAATCTCGAATTTAAAAAAATAATAATAATATGTACCTGAAATGGCCTTTAGAACTGCTTCTTGAGGCGGGCCTTGCTCATTATCATTATCATCATCAGATGAAGATGTGTTTTCATTATTAGAGCAATTCAAAGGCCGAGTCCTCCTTGCCAAGTGAGAGTTACTTCTACAGTAGGTAATTTTGAAGCCACAGAAGGAATCGGAGTGTGATATTTTGTGGGACGGGATGAACGGTGGTGTAAAACAGGGAATTTTGCTTTTATAAGGCAGAGGCCGCCATGGTTCTGGTAAGAAGACAGTTCGGAACACACTCCTGCACGCCGCCATTTTTGAAATCCTTTATCTTGATCTTTTATTATTTAATGGTTTGCCTTCTTAACAGCGGCGGACCGAGCACCTGACGAGGGAGCGCGATCGTGCGTATTGGGCTTCGCTAGAACAGTGCTTAGTGAAAGGAAGAGGGAGAACTAAAAATACCCGAAACCTGCTTTTCAGAAGAGGACATTTTTCCTTCAGAAATTGTACACCTAGTGTTCGAAAAAATTCGTGACTGTGAATTAGGTCTCAAGATCTTTGACTGGGTGTCGCAGAAAAGCTTTTCTCTTGAAGCTCTTGGCTAGGTCTCAAGTGTTTACGGAGATTGAAAATTTGTTGGCAGAGTGTGTGAAATGTGAAGGGAAGTTGCCTGCGAGTGAGGCGTTCGATGTTGTTATCCGAGCCCATGCTTCTGGGCAGGTTGAGAATGCTTTGGAGTTGTATTCATTTGTGTTGAAAAAGTATAATGTGGTGCCCCATGTTTTGGCTTGTAATTCTCTACTTAATGGGCTTGTAAAGAATGGGAAAATCGAAATTGCATTGAATGTATATGAGGAAATGGTGAAGAGGGATGATGGTATTGACAATATTTGTGTGGATAATTATAGTGTTTGTATAATGGTTAGAAGGCTGTGTAAAGAAAGGAAGGTTGAGGAAGTAAAAAGTTAGGGCGTGTCTGGGCACACGATCCATTAAAAATCGGACCGTTAAAGAGCAAAAATCGGATCGTTGCTGATTTTTTAATTCAACATAATCTGACAACATTGAAGTACCAAGTCGGGCCATAAGACTCCAAATTTCCAATTTGCCCTCCTCATTACACGCCTCACCAACCCAATCCATCCTTCTCTCCCAATTTCTTTCATCATATCCTTTCCACATAAATTCTTGCTGCTAAACTGCGATTTCAGCACAACCGAGAGTGCCATCTCCTTCCTAGATCCGCACCCTTTGACAACCCTTCAGTAAAAAATGTTCTCCGATGACGTGTTGACAGATCCTTCCCTCAGAGAGTAAGAGGAGTACTCCACGAACAGTCACAACGCAGCTTGCTAGAGTCGATAAAGTTTTCTGGCCAAGGGAAACCGCTGAGTGTGGTACCTAGGTGCCCTGTCTTCGGTAAGGGTCGATTTTTTCGATTTGTTACATTTTCACGTCAGAGCATATAACCTAACCACCGTTCCCAAAAATATTTCGCACTCTGATGTTTTGTGGCTTGTCATCGCAGATGGGTTACAACGGTTCCTCGTCCACCTCCAACCCTTCTCCAAGTTAGACCCAAGCACCAGCTCGAAAGAATGCCTTTTGGACTAAACATGATAACCAAATTTTCCTGGCTGCATGCGAGACGGTGATAGCCAACGGTCATCGTAACGGAAAGTGCTACATGAAACACGGTTGGGACCAAGTGATCCAGTTGTTCAACACCAACTCCGAGCACGTCTGGACCAAGCAACAATTGAAGAATCATTGGGATTGTCTTCGTCAAAAGCATAAAAGACTCACGGAGTTGTTGAACTGCAGTGGTGTCGAGTATAACTCCACAATGCGAACAATTGCTGCATCGAACGAGTGGTGGGAGCGAAAGACTAAGGTACCAAGAATTTTTACCTGTACCAACTTTTTTTTCATGGTTTTTTGTATTTCTTGCAATGACAATGAAGAGAATCTGTAATGAGTTGGCGTTTGAGTTTTCGAAAAATTGAAATGTCAATATGTTTGAAGATTTCCCAGTCCCCACTAGGTTCACTGAAAATGAAATTGTGCAACAAAGTTGCAATCTTCTGTTTTCTGAAATTACATACTTATGTTAATGTTACACGTTTCTACAAATTAGTTGTTGTGGATATGATGATCGAATTGTTCTTCATTGATTTGTTCCCTTGACTATGCTACTGGTTGAAAGCATAGGAACTAGAGGTCCATGTTTCTATCTCATTCTGTAATTTGTATTTTGTTTCATTCTTCCTCATTCACGTGTCAACTTTGCGATGCTATTGGGGTGAAATTATAGGAGATACAGGTCGCTGTTAATTGAACACGTTTGTGCCGAGTTGTATTTTAGTTGTTGCCTTTTGAATTATAGTAATGAAGCATACGATTAAGCCTTGGTAATTCCAGCCACTTCACTTTGCACCATTTGTATGATAGCTAGTAATATAACCTAAGATTTGTGGTAAAGAATAGTGGACGGTATGGTAGCAATGTCTTTCCATTTTTTCTTGGAAAAAGTAAGTATATTTCTTAGGCCGAATAAGTTATTTGTTGGGGCCTCACATAAATTCGTTTGATTCCATTTTTCCAAGTAGTTCAGAATTTTGAGTGAAGCTAGATGCAATTTCATGATTATTGAAATTTTCTATTCACCATGCATATGGTATTTTTTGCATTTTTTTCTTAGCTAATGGAATGGCCTTCAAGTTAGCTACCCTTTCTGGCTTAGCTGATCCTTTTGGTGTAATTATTGTAGGTTCATCCCCTTAATCTTAAATATATTGATAATCAAATAAATGTCAAAAGTTCCAGATTTCATATGTTTGAAATTCGTAAATAATCTGCAGCTTACCTATTATTTTGTTGGTTATATATTTATGTTATAGAAACTTTATAACATCATCTTTAGTCATATTGGCCCAACAGATACTTGCATATAATACTATGGTTTATTTTGTATAACATCATCTTTAGTCATGTTGTGGTTTATGCTGTGCACAGTCCTGAAATTGGACACGTATTTTCATATCTTGCATGTCGAACAGGAAAACAAGGACTACAAATAATACATAGACAAAGACTGCAGAAAGGTATACGGCTACAACGTGTTGTTTGGGGATGCCTTTGACAGCGATAAGTATGTTGTCACACCGTCCCAAATGTGTCGGACAGGATTTGCCATGTTTGAGGATAGTGGTTACGAAGACCTGCGCGACGCTCATTTGGACAGCGATGAGAGGAGCAGATTAAGTGATGAGGGGGACAAAACTGGTCGGGCAGCAACTAGCATGGACGTCTCCAGGCCATGAAGTGGAGACAAGTGTCGACCTAGCAGCAAGAACACAAGTGAGAAAAGAGCAAAAATAGAAGCCAGAGATTTTTCATACTCTGTTGATCGCGCCGCCTCTGCCAGTCGAGAAGTAGTCGAAAAAATCAAAAATTTGGTTGGTCCTGCTATGACTCCTGTGAAGACAATATTGGAAGAGTTGTTGGCGACGGGTAGACTGCATAAAAAAACTGAGTTGTACTTCTGGACTTGCAAGTTCCTGAGCAGAAGGGCTAATAGGGAGATTGTTGATGTGCATGACGATGCAGATGAAAAAATGGATTGGGTTGAGTGGTACCGGAAAGATGATATGAAGAGACGACCAGAATGTAGACTGTAAGGGATAAAAATAATTAGGGCCAGTGTATTTGAACAGTCCGAGATGGTGTGGTGTACTTTTTTTATTTTTTTAAATTTCTAGTTGCAGGATTTTCCATGAAAACAATTTTGTTCTGTACTCGTAATATTTATGTTCTGCACCGATATATCTAGCCAGAGATTTGTTGTCCATATTTTCATAAATTTTTGTGATTGTATGCGTACTGTTAAACTGTTGTTGGACGTCTTTGTTTCCAAATAATCTTTCTAGAGTCATAATGACCTACAAGATTCCTTACAATCACTAGTGTCAATAATTTGGTTTTTGTCTTTGTCCAATTTTTCATGTCATTCTTTTGTGCAATGATTTGTATTGATGCCATGAAATACAGAGCATGGTCTATATAAGAAACATTTAACCAATATCTTAAACAAAGAAAGTATTGGAAGAGTTGTGCACAAGTTTCCTCTTATTGCTCCTTCATCTCAAATTACGTATGGCATTATTAGTAATATTATGAAGTAGAATGGCCTGTTCTCATTTTCATTGTGACCTCATGCCTTAGTCCGATGATGAAGTTGAAATCGACGAAGACGAAGTTGTGCAACAACTACAAGATGACATCGTCAAATGGTTTTGATACTGTCGACATGCAGAAATAGACATAACTGCATACTATCGTGAACAGAGAAGTTGAGTGAGGAGGTTCCCATTTGCGAGAAACGGACACATGTTCATGTTGAATACTATGAAATATAGTCCCAATAAGTGTTTTGCAGAATTTCGGATGTATCTCGCAATGCTGTGGGAATTCACACATATACTTCGCGATGAATAAGGACTACGTAGTGGCCAGCACGTAGACGTGTATGAACAAGTTGGGATGTTTCTGTGCATATTAGCGCATGGAAAATGGTACAAATAGGTACAAACACTATTTAACCATTTTTTGGAAACTGTTGGACACTATTTCAAAAAGGTGCTTGAAGCCGTCGTGGAATTTAGTAAACTTCTAATAAGACCTGATTCGAACTATAATCACGGTGCTGAGCATCACGTATCAAATATCAACAAGCATCTGTTATTTCAAAATTGCATAGGTACAATTGATGGAACACACGTCAAAGTTGTCATGCCGCGGGACGAACGAGTTAAATTTATCGGACGCTAGGGCATTCCAGCACAAAACGTTCTTGCAACATGTGATTTCAATTTATGTTTCACATTTGTGCATGCAGGGTGGGCGGGGACTACGCATGATTCACGCATACGGGCACGGGCTATACATAGTCCTGAAATTGATTTTTCGCATCCTAGCCTTGGTAAATATTATCTTGTCGACTCTGGATTCGCACATAGACCTGGGTACATGGCTCTGTATAAGGGATCATATATATTGTATCATTTTCAGTAGTTTTACGATGGTCAGACGGGTCGAAGTAGGGGTGTCCAAAAGTCCTGAACTGAACCGGACCGAACCGAACTCGAACCGAACCGAGCGGTTCTTCATAAATTAAATACCCGAATGGGTACCCGAATCGAGAACCGATGGGTTTGGGTCGGGTCCCGGGTATAGACCAAGAACCGAAGAATCGAACAAGAACCGAAACTAAATAATTTTTTTATTTTTTATATTGAATTAATTAAATTATT